CCGCAAACCTTCTTCTCTCCCACACGCCCCCCCTTCCCACCCGCTCCAGGACCCTCCTCGCTGACCCCACCCCCACTCCCGGGATGGAGCAGATCGAGCCAGCCCGGAGCCCCCCGCATCCGGGGTGACGGTCCTCCGCCCCTCTCGCGCCTGGTCCCCAGCCCCGAGAACCATGGGCCTGAGGGGTTTCCGAGGCGCTGGACGCTGAAGATGACTGATGCTGGAGGTGAGGGACCGGGACCCCAAGGGACCCCCGAAGAGGACGAGGAAGCAGAGCTAGCGGTCACTCCGGCTAGTGGTGGGACCCCGGAAGGGGTTGGATGGGGCGAAACGACCTGGGCCTTTCTTGCCCTGTCCCTAGGGGGGCCGCACGGAGCTAGGGTGCTGGGCTGTAAGGGGAGGGGGCGGAGACAGGTTTTGTGTCCCTAATCCTCTCCCTCCCTCCCGGCTGCCGGAGAAAAAAAAAAAAAAAAAAAAAAACTGGGGAGGGGGAGGGGAGGGGAGACGGCTTAACTCCTTCTTGCCTAGAGGATGGGAGCGAAACTAGTCAACGTGCTGGGGGTGGGGGAATGGAGACCCTGGGAGTGCAGTCCTCCGTTTCCCCCTCATCTTCAGGGGCACTCACTAGGAGGGGGAAGCCCCCTCTTGCCTCATGCCCCAAGCCTGGGCCTTATGGGGAGGAGGCACCTCTTTCTCTAGATCCACAACTACACCCCTCACCCCAGCTTCCCCTCCCATCCTCCCTGGCCTGTTCCAGTTGTACTTGGCTCTTGGTCTTTCTCGGCCTGCCCTGCTGGGGCCCTCTGCTCTCCAGGGGAAGATTCTCCTCCCTTTGAACTCCTCCCGTGGGTTGCACTCTGGGCTGCCAGAGCCATCTCCACTGCTGCCTCCCTGGACCTGCTCTGTCTCCTGCTCTTTCTATCTTTCTGCAGCTCTGTGGGCTGTTCACCAACCTGTCTGCTGGCTGTTCCTTGTCCCCACACTCTCTAAAGCCTGTGCACCCTTTTTGTCTCTGTCTCCTTCCCCTGTGTCCCCCCAAATACTTGAGCTCACTTGCCCCTCTTTTTCCCAGAGAAGGGTCAAAGATCCTGGGGCATCTCAGGAACCTGGGAGCTGGGGGAGGCTGGCTAGCTAGTGCTGTGTCCAGAGGAACTCGTTAATTTCCTTACCTGGTTGGATGTGAGTGACTGTGTGAGAATATGAATGTTGTATCTTCCAAGGATCAGTTTTATAAAGCCAGCATTGGGTGGAAGGGGCCTGGGGCCCTCCTGGATGTTTGGCTTCCTTGAGTTCCCCCCCCTCCCCCCCCCGTGGTACAGGGTAGGCAGGGTCCCCAGACACACCCCAGAAAAAGAGGGAAAGAAAGTGATTTGTGCTGATTCAGGATGGGCTGGGCATAGGTATGAACTGGAAGCTGACCCCCTGAGAGAGCCCACTAGCAGGTCATCACCCTGGGCTGGGACTTGCGGTCTCCTTTCCCAGGTAATATGAGAGGGAGGTGCCACCCTGCCCTTGGGTAACCTCCACCTGGAGGTGGGAGGTAGTTCTTATCTTCAGAGAGGCCCTAGTCAGGGGGGAATACTGGCCTCTCTCCTGAGGACCTCCCATCCGATGTGGGGGATACCCATTTAGGGTGTCAGTGAAGTACAAAAAACTCCCCATTTCCCAGTGGTAGGGCAAAGGTGGATTTAGAAATTATATAGATACGTGGGAAGAAAAAGAGCTACCTAGGCACCTCTGGAGGAGCTGGGTCCTGACCAGGAGGCTTTATGATGGAGTGAGAGGTTGGCTTCACTCTTAGAGGCAGTTCTCCTTCCATCTGACCCTTCAGGACCAGAAAAGAGATTCTAGAGCTTCGCACTACTAGCACCCAGAGTTCAAGAATGGCAGGAGGTTTCTTAAAGGCCCCTGCCCTGGCTCCTTCTCACACTTCATTTTCCTACCTTCAACACTACATCTTCATTGGGCCTGCGGTGGAGATGGTGTTGAGCTGCTCCCAGTCTGAGCCAGTATGGACCAGGTTCTGCCCCTCTACCCATTACCCGGGACAAGGCCAGGGTCCAGCTTGTGCTCTGCCTCTTAGTTTTCCTCCTGTACAATGGGGGTATAAGAATCCCAAGCCTGGAAAGCACGTATTGAGAGAATGTCTATGAAAGAACAGAAAAAGGAGAGAAAAGGCCTGGGCAGGCACAGTGGCCTAACTTTCCTGCACCTGTCAAATGTTCAGTCCAGCGCCCACCTCTTTCAGGGGCACCTGAGTTAGAAGTCCTTGCCCAGCCTGTACTGGCACAGAGTGGCCTGGCCCCGGAGCTCTCGCCCTCTCTTTCATCCACACCCCTTGAACACCCAGGCCCTGGTCTAGGGTTGCTGCATTCCCACGGCTGGGGGAAGTCTGCTCACACTGCTCAGCCACATAAAGCCTGCTTCCCTATCTGCCTGCTCTTTTACCGTCCCACAAAAGCAAAACCCCGAAATCCCATCCCCCCCTCCTAGAACATACCGTTTCATGGAGATTTGGTTGTCCACTGTTGTGCTGTGAGCATTACTCACGCTTTCCGCATTTGTGAGTCTGTCTAGAACTTGGAGAGCTGTGAATTTGTCTAGAAAGCCCCCCTGCAGTGGTGCCAGCTTCCTGAGCAGCACGTGTTCAGGATGGCAGGTGGTGAGCCCACCGGGATGGGGATGGGGAGGAGGTGGGGGCGGGTGGGCTAGTAGGTGGATGTATGCTAGCTAGGAGACAGGTGGGTAGGCACATAGAGGGCTGGCTGGCAGAACCTGGGTTCTGGTCTTGCCATGTACTTGATTTGTGACCTCAGGCCAGTCATCCTCCTCCCTTAAACTTAAAATGAGAAGTTTGGATATGATAATGTCCAGTATTTCTCCCAGATTTGATGTTGGACAACTCAGGATCAAAGGTTTTCAGAAAAGGCCAATGATGGTGAGATGACTCCTCTTCCTGGAGAGAGTTCTGAGGGCAGGTGAGGGCCCAGGGCCAGGAACAGGCAGCTCTTCACAGAGCTCTTGCCTCTCTCAGCCAGAACCTATTAACCAGGGTCTCTCTCTCTTCCTCCTTCTCTCCATCCTCATCCTGTCCAGCTCTCTTGAGTCATGGCTTCTTCAAAGCTCCGAGAACCCACAGATGAGGTTTTTGGTAAGTCCTGCGCAACTCTATCTCTAATCAATGAACACAGCCAGAGAACAAGGCCACCCTGTATTGGGGTGACAAGAAGGGCCCTAGGGACTTGTGGATGGGGGGGTGGGGTGGATATGTGGTGGCCTTATAGCCTGCTTTTGACACCTCTATCTAAAGGACATGAAGTGACAGCAAGGGTCCCCATTATCAAGTATTTGTCTTATGCCAGGCACTAGGTTAGCACCCCGGCTACACACCCTTCTCACAGTGATGCCAAGTGTACCATGATGTAAAGGCAGACAGAGCTTTCCTGTGTGCTTATAGGTCACGGGCAGGCAGAATCCAGACCACCGACCTCTCTGGACTCAGTCATGCCGCTGTGCACCTGTTTCCCACAGACACGTGTTACCACCAGCGACGTAAATAAGGGAACCCACCCTGCATGGATGCACCTGCAAATCAAGTGCATAAAGCACATTCAGCCCCTGTACCCCCAGGCTGGCCTGCTCTGCACACAGGGGAGTGCACACACTCCTCCCCCATCATTTACCTCCTGCAGTCTCAATGTTGTACACAGGAAGACCACCCCAGCAGGGCCCTCCCAGCAGGCCCTGGGTGGAAAGGCTGCTGCCCAGCTGGACTGGGTGGAGCAGTCTGCCATGAAGGACCATGGAGGGTGGAGAGAGAGGTGGAGTCAGAGCAGAGCAGCCGCTGAAGCCTGGAGCGTGTGTGCAACTGCAGGACTCCCATTTGTGTGCGCAGTCTCAAGGGGCCCAGCTTCTCCTCCTCCTCCTCCTCTCTACCTTCTCCTCTCCTCCCCCGCCCCTACCCACTTCATTCTCCCCTGCCACCACCACGTGCCTGGCAATGCCAGGAACCTCTGGCTCCTGGCTAATGCTGCCCACCCAGCCTCTGGGGGCCTGTGGAGTGGAGCTTTGCCTCCGAGACTCCCCGCCTTGAACTGCCCGGGACCCCAGTCTAAGCCTCAGATGAGTCCCCTTATCCCCCCCCTCCACTCAACCCTGCCTGTTTTCCTGCTCCCAACCTGCTGAGGTGGCTGCAGGCCTGCCTGCTTCCTGATGCGGAAAGGCAATTAAGTATTCATGACTTCCCACTGCCCAGGGTCTGGCTAACACCCTGCTGGGGAGACCTGGAGAGAGGGAGAAGACCCAGACAGTGATAGAAAGAGGGAGCGCAACAGACAGACAGACAGACAGACAGACACACACACACACACACACACACACACACGCACGCAAGCGCGGGTACGGAGGTAAAAAGACCTGGTAGAGCAGAGACCTAGAAGAAGGTTGGTCTCATGTCAAAACCCCCAGTTCCTCTGAGTAGTCCCACTGCTTTCTACACCCTAAAATCAAGATGCGCATGGTCCTGAGTGGCCCTGCCTACGTCGGGCACAAGGGCCCTTGTCCCTGGCCTGGGCAGCTGGACACCAGTGGAGTACTAGAGGGTGCCTGGGAGCAGGAGGCCAGGATGCCGCCCTGACTTCCACAGCCCCCTTGGCCACACTTTTGCTCTCCAAGCCTCAGTTTCCCCACCTGAGGGGTGGGGACTCACAAGTGATTCCCTTCCCTGCCTTAGAGGAGAATGGCAGACCTGATACTTACAGGCCTGCCTCCAGCCAGACTGCCTGGAACCCTGGCCTGGCCCTTTCTTCACCTGCCAGATGCCCTCAGGCAAATTAAGGCTCTCTGGGGGTCCCTGGAGTCCCTTCCCTGAGGGCTACAAGGAGATTTAAATGTGCTAGTAATTGCAAAGCACTTAGAAGCTCAATAAGTATCAGCTATTATTACATGTGCTTCCGTTCCCAGTCCTTGCTGCTTCCAAGCAATGCCTGGAGATTGTGTCAGGGAGTGGGGGACAGGGCTGCAGCCCCCAGTTTACAGCCTGGGAACCCTAGAAGTAAAGCAGGGGAAGCTGCTCCGCCCTGGTCTGGGCGATATGCACACACCCTGGTCCACCCCGCCCCTCCTCCCTTCCTACACCCTTGGCTCTTTACTGCCACCCGGACCTGGGTTGGCTGTATCACCCAGAGCAGCCGCTCCCCAGTCACTCCCTGTCTTGTTCATCCATTTGCTAAGCATCACAGAGCTCCTACTGTGTGCCAGGCTGAACCAGGCAGAGAGAGCCCCTGCCCTTGGGGAGCTTGAGCCCAGGGCAGCGGCAAGCAGGGAAAAGCATGCAACTCTAAATAAGGAATGACATGTCCAAGGTGACAAGGTGACCAGTGTGGAGGGCGCGGGTGGGCAGGGATGGCTCGGGGGTGTGCTTGTCAGGGACCCTCAGCAGCACCTGTGCGTCTGAGTCCATCTGCCTGGCTGCACTTTGATCCTGGAAGTGGGGCTGTGCCTCAGTCCATCGGCCCCCCACTGAGGGCCTGCTCTCTGCCAGGCCCTGTGCGAGGCTCTCAGGATCTACACAGTGGGCAGCAAGGACTCACCCTCCAGTGTGGAACAGTCCTTGCTGACCAGGTCTGAGGCCGAGGCCTCACGAGGTGCTGTTCAGGGGGTGATGTGCTCAGGTGCACAGCCAGAGAGGTGCAGAGAGATGGGCAGAGCGCAGCCGGAGCAGCTGATGGGGGGGTGGGGGTGGGGGGCGGCGGCTGTATGAGCAGCTCAGTGCTGCTCCGACCCACTCGCTGGTGCTTGCGAGCACTTGGACGTCACGGGCATTGTGGTGAAGCACTTCACATGAACTATCTGATTAGATGCTCACAACAACCCTATAAGAGAAATATGACTGTTCTAACCCCACTTTACAGATGAGGGAACTGATATCTAAATGTAAGTACCTTGTCCAGGGTCACCCAGCCCACAAGTGGGAAAAAGAGCCCCAGCCACTGGCCTAGGCAGTCAACCATGGTGCCACACAAGAGCGTGCTGTGCGGGGGTGGGGGGGAGCCCAGAGAGGTGGGCGAGGCCCTGCATAATGAGGGGCTGTGGGGTGTGGACTTCATGCCACTGGCTTTGGGGTGGCCCTCTACGCTGGGTTTCAAAGCTGGGGAGTGTGGGCCAAGGTCAGAAATGCCTTTTAGAAAGATTCTTCTAGTTCGTGGGAAATGGGGAGGGAGGCAGGGAGCTAAGGGTGGATGGATATTGGGAGGCCATGTTGAGGGATGGCAAGTGTGGGGGGCAGCAGCTGGTGAAGGCCTGAGTTGAGTTCAGTCCCAAGTGGGAGGAGAAGCTTTCAGGAGTATCAGGAGTATGAGGAGGCAAATCAATGGAACTGTGATTGTCCATTAAGATGATATTTACTAAGCACCTACTACATGCCAGGCCCTGTTTTCGCCTGAGTTAGAGCAGCAAACAAAATAAAGAAGCATCTGCTCTCACAAAGCTGCCATCTAGTGGGTGGAGACAATAAACTCATTCAGTGAAATGGTCTTGCGCCAGAGAATGGTAAAAGATACAGGACAAAATTATGGGCGGGGTTTTTTTTTGGGGGGGTATTACCAATTGGGAGCAGGGATGGCCACAGTGAGGGTAGGCAGTTTAGACCTGAAAGAGGCCAGGGAGAGAACCGTGTAGAAACCTGTGGCAAGAACCTTGCTGGAAAGGGACAGAGGAAGTGCAAAGACTGAGGTGGTGACTCCTGTGTGAGGAAGCGCTGGAGGCCAGTGCGGGAATGAGGGAGCCAGAGGGACAGGAGGAGGAGCTCAGAGGCCAGGGCAGCCGGACAGTCCTTCCGGAGTCCCTGGGGAAGCGTCCGTCACTCCTACTGTGGAAGCACTGGGGGATTCTGGGCAGAGCAGTGACAGAGCTGACAGGTTTCATCAGGCTCACTCTGGCTGCTGTGTTGAAAACAGACAGTAAATGGGAAAGGGAGGTGGAGGGAAGACCAGCGGAGGCTTTTGGAGTGACCGAAGGGTGATGGTGCTCTAGACCGGGAGGCTGGGAGGATCCCTCTCTCCGTCTCTCCCACTCCCGTCCTCTCCTCTCTACTAGTCTGCTTCCTCTCTATGCACGTGTGTGTCTGTGTGTGTGTGTGTGTAGACACAGAGACAGGAACATATTTTATTGTGGGAAACCTCTGGTACCATCGGTTGAGCAGAGCAGGGGATTTCCCATCCTGGGCCCATCTCCCTACCAACACCGCATCGCGGCTCCGGTTTCCTCTCGCCTCCTCTGCTACTGCTCTTTCGGGTTATTCTGAATCTAACCCAAAGCAGAGTATCGCTTCACTTTAAATACTTCCGTAAGTCTAGCTGTTTCCAAAGTAAGGCTACCAGGAATGGCGGCTGGAGCCTTTGGCTTGCGGGGTGGCAGGGAGGAGTCTGGGGCGAGTCCAGGGGTTTGGCCTGAGTGTCCGGAGGACCAGGCTGCCACTGACCTGTGTGGTGACTTAGGAGCAGCTGGGCACCGGGCCAGGGTGCCAGCGGACAGCTACGTTGAAGATCCTGTTGGACAGCCAAGTGGAGGGGTCATGTAGGCAGCTGGACACCTGAGTTGCCAGCTGGCGCTGGTGGTGAGGGGGGAGGAAAGCTTGGGGCTACCTGAAGGGGTGTCTAGGTGGACAATAGGGCCTTTTGCTGAGCAGGGGAGAGTCAGGCTTGAGTCAAGGGGGTGAGATGGTTTTGATGAGTTGAGTCTGAGGTGCCGGTACCTTTGATGTGGCAAATTCCCTGGCAGGTGTGAGGTATTCCGGCTTGGAATTCAGGGGAAGGGTCAGGGCTCGAAGGAGACACAGGTGTAAGCTGAGCCAAGAGATTGAGAAAAGTGTCTGGGGTCGGGGGATGGGCTGGGGAGATAGGGAGAAGCTGCACACAAGAGAAAGGAGAGGCAAGATGGATGGAGGTCCCTGAGACCATGATGGGTGGAGTGAGGGAGAGGACCCCATCCTGAGGTGTGCAAAGAATCTTTTCAGTCTGGAGACCCCATGCCGAACTCGGGGATGCTACAAGGTGAGGGCTTTGTTCTCAGGTGGAGCAAATGAACGGTGGGACTGAGGCAACATCTGGTTCGTTGAGTCCTCCCACCATTACTCCACGCTGAGCCTGGGCCGCAGACCCCAGGAGGGGACAGACAGGCTCCTGGGGACATTGGGCTTTCCTCCCCGCCACTGCCACTGGCCTGTGAGGGTCCCTCCAGCCTAGTTCAACTGCACACATTCTAGGTGCCCAGTGGTGCTGCCTCTGAGCGTGACCGGAGCCTGGCATAGCAAGCCAGTGTCCCCAACAGGTCTAGTGTCTGGACCTGCCTCAAGGCTCAAATTCCAGACCATTACCATAGCTGGCTGGTGGCTTCAGGCAAGAAGCTAACCAGCTCTGAGCCCATCTGCTCATCTATAAATGCAGCCTAGTTATTCCTAGTCCTCTGGGCTGTTCAGCAGACGAGGTGATGCAGGTACATTTTCCCATAGTCAGTGCTTTGTCAGTGGTCACTACTATTTCCATGATTTCTTCAGTCTCAAACCCCAGCCTTTCCTGCCACAAAACTGCCCTCCAAGTTATCCTGGTAGACAGGTGCCAGCTCCTGTCTACCTCCCAGTGTTGCACAGACCTGTTTTGCCAACCCTTTCTCTTGCAAACTCCTACCCACCCAGGCCAAGGCCCAGCTTGGGGGTTTTCTCCTTACCCATCCAAACAAGGCCATCTGTCCTCCTCTGTGGCCACTCTAGGCCCTATCTAGGCCCACACAGGCTGGTGTGTCTGGCTCCCCAGAGAAGGTGAGACCCTGCCTGGCCCACACGCCCAGGGCCCAGCTCGCACAAGCGTGTGTTGAGTGCCGGGGAATGGGACAGGCGCTGTGAGGGCAGGCAGCTTCCTGAGGGCCTCATGTGTCTGCTCTCTGCCCTCTTCACCTGGTTTGCAGACCTAGACTTGGCCGTGCCAGAGACCGTCAGACTGGACAGCAGTCTACACAAGGCCCGGGCCCAACTACTGGCCAAGGGGCGGAGACACAGGCCCTCCCGCTCGAGGCTTCGAGACAGTGCCAGCTCTGCCGAGGATGGTGAAGGCTCTGATGGGCCTGGAGGCAAGGTCAGTGCAACTCACTGGAACACACATACCTCACTCTCCCTGCTTGCCCTGGAGGAACCCCAAGAAGAGAACCACTCTTGCAGGAAAACCACACCCCTGGCTTTGGAGGGAGTAATGCTAACATAGACGCTAGCTGTATTCACTCCCGGCTCCTTCCATCCTTCCATCCCCACTGCAAGGACAGCCTGGGAGGATGGGAACAAATGTCACACAGGGTTAACCCCAGCCTGTGTGACCAAAAGCCCTGCTCTCCACCGCTCAGCCACCCTTCCACTCCCCAGCAAGACTCAGGAGCCCCCCCCCCAAGACCGCAGAACAGTTTACAGGTGGAAACTGCTTCCCAGCTGCTCCCTGCCACTCTGAAAAGTGGGTAGGAGGGCTGGCAGTGAGTGTCTGTCCCCCTTCCCCAGGTGACCGAGGGCTGCGGGAGCCCCCTGCACCGGCTGCGCTCCCCTTTGCACTCTGGCCCCGGGTCGCCTGCGGGGGGCTCTTTCTGCCTGGAACCTCCGGGATTGCGGCGCAGCTTAGACGAGGACGAGCCGCCGCCCTCACCTCTCACACGCTACCGGCCTCTGCACAACGCTGCCTCGCACGAGGGCCTGGCCGCCGCCTCCTCTCCGCCACGCTCGGCGCCGTCCTCCGACAGCTCGCCCAGCTTCGTGCGCCGCTACCCGCGCGCAGAGCCGCACAGCGAAGGTAAGCGGCGGGCGGCGCGGCGCCCCCTGCTGGCGTGCGCCGGCACCGCAGCGGCCCCTCCCGGCCCTGGGGGCACTGAAGCCCGGGTGGCGTGGGGTAGGTAGGGAGGAAATACCCGGCGCCTTGATTCATGCTCGGGGCTCCTACTATGTGCCAGATACTGTCGGGCACAGACACACACCCGTGAGGAGACATGCGTCCGTTGTCTTCATGAAATTTATAGTTACAAGCTGAAACAAGCGCTATGCCAGCAGCGCGCCTGGTGGGAGGGGAGCAGGACTCTCAGGGTAAGAGGACCTAGTTGAGAGCATCCTAAGGCTTCTCTAAGGAAGTGGCGGGTGAACCAAGATTAGACTGGCGAGAAGTTGGCCAAGAAAAACTGACCGTAAATAGTGGTGGCCCCTACCTTCTCCTGGTGGCTGAGGGCCTGTGTGGGGTTTTCCGGAGCATAGGCTGGGTCTATGAAACAGGCAGGTGTCACCCCACACTGGAGGTGAAGGAGCTCAGGTGACATGATTGTGCCGGGTCTCAGCAGTGAAGGGCCCAGCAGAAGGTGCCTGGGTCGAATGGAGAGAACTTCCGCTTCACAGCGGCCGCTGGAGGGGCGGGTGAGCCACCACACAGGCTGCTTCTTTCCCTCTTTTCCCTGCAAGATGACAGCCGGGATGCCAGCCCGCCGGAGCCCGCCAGCCCCACCATCGGCCTGGATAAGAAGACTCGCCGGAAGTTCCTGGACCTGGGGTCAGTGGAGGAGGGGCTAGAACTGCGCGTGGAGCTGTGTGTGGGGGTGGGGGGCCGGGGAGCATAGCAGGCAGCACTGCCCCACACCCCTTTGTCCGCCCCACAGCGTCACCTTACGCCGAGCCTCCACTAGCAAGACCAGGAAGGAGAAGGGCAGCAACCGCCTGTCCATGGGCAGCAGGTACCGCGCCTGGGCCACAGCCGCAGCTTCAGCCGTGAGCCTGGGGCCTCGCCCAGGTGTGCCGCAGCTCACAGGGCCTGCCCTTGGCTTCGGCCTCACAGGTGCTCTCTCCACAGGGAGTCGGTGGAGGGGTCCAGCAGGGCAGGGAGCTCCCCATTCCTGCCCTTTTCCTGGTTCACAGACAGTGGCAAGGGCTCGGCGTCCTCCGGCAGCACCACGTCCCCTGCCTGCTCCCCTAAACACGAGGGCTTCAGCCCTAAGAAGTCAGCTTCTCAGGTGAGACCATGATTTCTTGTCCCCAAACCGGTGACATGATGCAGATCATGTGACACAATGGCCACCCTGGCTGGGGCTGATTTAGGTGTCCTGGGGCCCACTGTCCACGCAGCCACCCAGTGCGCCATGAACTCATGCGCCCTTGGGGTTCATGCATTCACTCCCACTCCTCACAAGCTCATTTGCTGACTCATTCATTGCTGCATTCATTCAACAGGCAGCACTAGTGGGGACCTAGCCCGAGGCGCCTCCATTCCGACTGGCTGTCCTGCTGGGGCGGGCGGTTCTACTCTGCACCCTGAGAGCTGGCCTGCTACGTGTGGGGTTAGGCTTGGGGGTAGTGTGACCAATAGCTGGCTAGGTTGAGGTCCCCGCTGGACTTGGTACTCAGGCTTCATGAACCCCGGCCAGTGCCCAGCCTGTGGTTCTGTTCCTCATGTGCAGCTGGGGGCTAGCAGCCTTGGTGGGGAACCAGAAAGCAGGGACCCCTGGCCTGGCATATGGGGAGGGGGTCCTTGTCTGAGATTTCTGCTAACGATTGTTCCTGGCTCCGTTCTGGTCACGGGCCCTCCCAGAGACCTCAGATCCTGATGCCCACACAGGTCCCCCCGCTCTGTGCCTGCCTGCCTGCCTCCTGGTCCTTTTTCTTTCTTTTTAAATACTGCATTATTTTTAACATTGCCTTTTTAATTTCTTTTAAGATTTGTTTACTTATACATACAAAAACTGGGGTACAGGCCAGAGGTACCGGGGGTGAAAGGAATCACCAAAGACAGAGTGGGAAGCAGAACAGGCCAATCCACTGAAATACACTGCAGAGGGGAGCAGCGGGCGGGACAGGAGCTGTCTGCTGTGACATGTGGGTCACCTCCCTGGCTGGGGATCGAACTCATGCTGCAGTGGCTGCAGCTAGCTCCCTAGTGCTGAGCTCTACACTGTTATGCCACCAGGGAGGGCCTCACTTCTTGGTTCTTGCACAGGAGTCACTGAGCAACTCCTGTGCCCAGGCCTGGACCCCAGCTCCACTCGCACGGGGTGGGGGGTAGGGGGGGACTCCCCTGAGCTGGGTACGAGCTCTCCTCAGCAGCATGCACTCCTTCTAACTAGGAATCCACCCTGAGTGATGACTCCACACCCCCCAGCAGCAGCCCCAAGATCCCAACTGGTCCCCGGCAGGAGGCCAAGTGTTCCTACCCCTACCACACGCTGTCCCAGTCTTCAGATGAGGTGAGCAAGCCCTGACCTCTGACTGCTAGGTATAGCGCCCCCCCCACATCAACCCCCCCCCCCCCGCTCACGCTCCTTGCTCTGCACCCAGTTCCTGGATGAACCTCTCCCTGCTGTCCAGCACTGGACCAGCCAGCAGGTGGGCCAGTGGCTGCACAGCCTCAACCTGGAGCAGTACGCTGCCGAGTTCGCTGCGCGGCAGGTGGACGGGCCGCAGCTACTGCAGCTGGACGGCAGCAAACTGAAGGTGGGTTGGACTTGAAGCACCAGGCCCCGGCAGCCGCCAGCGAGAGCCCTTCACCTCAACCTTTTTGCTCCCCCAAGCTGTCCTGACCTCTGCTGGTCAGCAAGGTTCCTGGCCTGTTCTCTTGCTATGGCATGGATCCCCAGTCTGACTTAAAGGAGGAGGTTCAAGCCTTTGGTTTGATTTTTAGCCTCCAGAGCAAATTTCCGGTTGGCCTTGACCTCCAGGATGGTATCCTCTAACTCGGCTCTAATGAATGAGTCCCCCCGCTTTCCCATAACTTGTCTCTCAGTCATGGAGGCTGGTGGTAGTGGAGAGGTGAGGTCAGGGGCTCTACTTTCTGCAAGGAGGCCTTGGGCCTGCTTCCCGCTCTGCTGGATGGCTTAGGGGAGGGTGGTGAGCAGGGTACGGAGTGGGCCCTGGCTATTTTGTGACCCTGAACAAGTCACTGTCCATCTGTGGGCCCATGGAATTGGGCATGTTGGGGTAGGAGAGAAGGCTGGTGGAGGGCGATGAGCAAAGGGCCCAGGACTGCCACCCTCACCTCCCCCACGCACCGCACTCCAGCCCGTGAGTCCGAGCTGGGCATGTCTGCCAGGTGGGGCCGAGCTGCAGGGAGCTGCTGCAGGGCCCCGGGGAGGGTCCCCGGGCACGGGGAGCCTGGCAAGGCCCAGGTGCTTCTGTGGCTCCGTCCCTCACCTTCGCATTCCTCCCCAGAGCCTGGGGCTCAGCAGCGCGCACGACCGGGCGCGAGTGAAGCGGAAGCTGAAGGAGCTGGCAGCAGCCGCTGAGAAGGAACGCAAGGCCCAGGAGAAGGCTGCGCGGCAGCGCGAGAAGCTTCGGCGCAGGGAGCAGGACGCCAAGAAGAGCTAGGGCGGGGGAGGCCCTGGCACCAGGCGCAGGCCGCAGGCTCCCCGGGCGCAGGCCTCACCTAGAGGCAGGCCTGTGCCCACATCCTCAGGGGGTACACACCCTCTCCCACCCTGCCACGCTGCTGGGCCCAGCTCCCCCAGGAAGGGAGACCAGGGAGAGGGGCCAGTAATAAATCCAATTTCAAGGACTTGTTTGGCAGAGTTCCTGGGGGCAGGGGCACAGGCCGTTTCTGAAGCACTTCTGGCGGCCCTGAGGTGCCTGGGTCAGTCTGACCCCTGCCCTCAGGCCGGGGTGGTGCAGGGCCCTGACATGGCGCCAGGGGCCCGGGCGGAGGGAGGTTGGGCAGCTTGGCAGGGGTGGGACGGAGCTGCTCTCTAGCTCTCTACTGGCTGTGTGCCGGGGGCTGTTCTGCTCCTCAGGGAGGAGGCAGTGCAGCAAGTCGCACTCAGGGTAGTGTCCGGTCCACACTCCTCAGCAGGAGAGCGGAGGGCAGCATGGTTACCCCAGCAAGCTTGGCAAGGAGACAGACGGGGAAGAAAACCTCCTCCTCCTTTCCCTCACTCTTCTGGGTCCCACTGGCGAGTGACTTTGCTGGGCTGCCCGAGTGCCCACCTGGCCTGGCCTGGGCCCACTTTCCAAGGGGGGACCTACTTATGCTCTGGGGAAAGAGCAAACACAGGAGCCGGTGGGAAGAGACCCTGGCCTAGGTGGTCTGAACTGGAAAATCCGTAAGCCAGCAGGCAGAGGCAAGATCTTGGAGGCTCCTGGGAAGCTGCTAGGTTAGGAGGTTCACCTGCCCTCCCCCACTGCCCTGGTCCCTGTTGGGGCCAGCCCCTGGGTGGGGGTGCTAGGTGTGGTGCAGTCAGCAGCTAGCCTTGCTTCCGTGGCACTGGCCAGCCACCAGTGGGGGTCAGGGGCCTCGCTTAGCAGCGTGCGCCTCTTGCTGCTGGGAAGCTAGGTGCAGACTCCCTCATTTCTGCCCTGGGACGCAGCCTGCTCTCCTGTTCTGCTGTCTGTGGGGAGAAGGGCTTCTAGGGGAACTGCAGCATGGGGCACTGGCACCGCCAGGGCCTGGTGGAGGGGCCGCTCGGGAGGTTGGGGGGCGCCGTCCAGAGCTGTCCAGGTGCCCACCTGCATGTGACGGGGGAGGTGGTGCTCAACTTACTTCAATAAAGGCTTACAATGTGCCAGTGACCTTTGTCTGCGCCGGTTGGTGGGCTGGGAAGGCTGTGCCAGGGGCATGCCGGGGTGCCGTCTGGGGTGTGCCGGGGTGCCATATGGGGCGCAGTGCTGGCTGTGCTGCAGCTACCCCCCTCATGTCCTGAGAAGTAGGTGGCCGACGGCACCGTGTGTCTGTCAGTGACCGCAGCCCTCATGCCATGTACGCGCGACCCCCGCCTCCCCCGGAAGCAGCCAGGCCGCAGGCTCATTCCATGTCTTTACTGTGGATGTCGGCGGCACATCAGAGCCCCTGGGGAGCACACACTTCAGCCCCGTGTGCTGAGGGGCCGGGAGCTTCAGGGCTACAAAACTAGCTATGTACACAGGGCATCCTAGGAGCGTGCCCCGCGGGAGCATGTGGGCACGTGGGCGTCAGGGGTCTGGCGCTCGGGCAGGGCTCTGGGGGCGGCGGGGCACGTGAGGACATGCGGGGCAGGGAGGCGGCAGATCGCTGCTGGGGCCTCGGGTGGGGCATCGGGCAGCACAGCGGCCCCGGGCAGCCCCAGGTTCCTCCATGGTGGGGGAGTCGCAGGTGACAGCAGCCCCTCTCCACCTTGACCTCGGTGCTCAGAGTGGAGGAAGAGGTGTTGGGGCCCGACCAGGTCCTTGCAGGGCCAGGGTGCGACCTCTTCGGCACTCACCAGCCCAGCCCAGGCCGGGGAATACGCGACCCCTCCAAACGCTGACCACGGTCCAGGGCCAGTGCCCATGCGGCAGAGGGGAATAAGGCAAGCAGGGCATCCGTCCGGAAAGCCCGGGCTGTGGAGGGCAGTGAGGGGGACCCGGGACCCCGGGAAGAAAAGTGGCAGCCCTGGCCTCAGGAGGACTGCCACGGAAACATCTCTGGGATACCCCATCAGGGTGGAGACACCCCCAATCCTCAGGCTTCGCCCACAGATTGGCCACCAGGGAGACCACCTAGGAGTCTCGGTGGAGACAGAGATTGGCACTTAGGGGCCACAACACACTGGTCACCGCAGTGACTCCACAGACAGAAGCTGGTCACCAGGGGGAGCCTCCCCCGGCCGGGGTGGGTCCCCGTGGTGGCCAGGCCCAGAGACAGCAGTCCACGCCTCTGGAGCAGGCGCACGGCACTCTAGCTGACGCGGTACGTGGACGTGTTCTTGGGCTCCGTGCTGGGCACACACCAGTCGCCGGCCTCCTGGATGGTCTGGTAGTGGCGCCAGGCGGACTTGTTGTAGACAGGCAGGCGCTCCACCGAGTCCGTGGACAGGGCCTGGGGGGCAGCAGGCTCAGTCCTCCCGCCCCGCTCGGCCTCGCCCCGCAGTGGGCCGCCGCCCGGGCCCACACGTGCCACCCGTGTCTGAGTCAGCGGGTCAGGTGCCTCTGCCGGGTTCAGCCACCGAGGGCCTGTCCTTCCGTGTCTTGTTCCTGCCCACCCAGAAGACTACCCAGAAGTCAGGGAGGGAGAGGCAGGAGGCTGGGCTGTGTGACCTTCAACAAGGTCACCAATTCTGGGCCTGTGTCCCCTGAGCTGGATGACAAAACCTCTGTGGTGCCCCTCAGTCTGACAAGTCAAGGGTTCCCAAACAGGAGTCTTAAATCACGGATACCCCGAAATGGCTGCTGGGGTAGCTGGGGCTGGGGAATTGCAGCTTTGTGCTGATTCTCAGGGTGGCGTCAGGAGAGGGTCAGAGGGCTGGAAAGGAAGCCTAAGGGCAGGCTAATCCCGCCTGACCCCTGGACAGGGGCCCTGGACAGGGGCCTCACCTTCAGATAGATGACGGCGTCGGTCCCAAAGCCCTCCATGGAGAAGAGCTGCAGGTCCCCCTGGAAGTACTTGGCATACAGGCGGGAAATGGGGAGCCCATACCCAAAGCCGGCCTGCAAGGGGCGGGAAGACAGCAGGATGAGGGGCTGTGCTGGGCTCCTGGAGCTGCAGGGGCAGAGCGCTGAGTGAGGAGTAGTGGGGTGGGGGTGCAGGGGGAGGGAAGGAAGATGGTGAAAGGTGAGGGGAGAGGGTGAAGAGGCACAAGAAGGCAGGCAGGCAGGGCCGGGCAGGTCACAGGGCTTCTGCCAGCCGCAACTTCCCCATCTCAGCCCTGCTCCTCCACCGGGAATGGACAGGGCGGCGCTGGCGAGCTGAGCATGCCCGAGAAAGGCGGTAACCCTGGGGGAGGTCGGGGCAGACGGAGAACTGGGGAAGTGAGACAGACACGCTGGGCAGAGAGGGAGAAGGAGGCCTGGACGAGGGAGAGGTGACACGGCACACAGCCCCCCCCCCCGCCCCAGTGTGGAGAGGCCGTGGGAGTCGAGGAAGCCAGAGGTGGGGCAGGGCGACGCCTTGACGAGAAGCAGGGAAAAGACAGGCGGACGGGAGGCGACGAGTGATGTTATCTCACCAAGGGGGTTCCCCCAGTGCCCGGCTGGGGGGTGGGTGCTGTGGAGTACATGTAACTGAAGAGTCGCTCAATCTTCCTCAGGGGAACACCCCCACCTCGGTCACTCATCTGGGGAGACAGGACAGGCCAGGGCTTCTCCAGACCTCAGCTTCTGCACACTAACACCCTGTACCCCTGAATTTGTGGTTTCCCCATCCTGAGGTCTTCTCCAAGCCCAAATCCTGGCAGCAGCAAAGGCCCGAACCCCCACAGCAATCTGGTCCCTAAGGTGAAAGGTCACATACTTTGATGGACAGATCTTCCTCACCCAAGGCCACCATGACCTTGATAGGTGGGAGGACCAAGCTGGACTCGTGGCTTTCCACTGTCGCTCGCATGGCATTCTGGGGGTGACAAGAAATGCAGTCTCCATGAGAAACGCCTACTGCTGACCACCCTCCACCCCGCAAAGGCCCATCCCCGGCCCCCTCACCTTGAAGAGCTCAAAAAGCATGTGGTAGAGGTGGGAGGGGACGTAGACCATGTGAATTGGCTGTTTGGAGTCGGACGCTGCCAATACACCAAGACCAAAGGTCAGGAAGTTGTCGAGGGGTCACGATTCAGCACCCATTCGCCCCACAGTCAACAACCCGCCGGCATTCATCCATCCACCGTCCGTTCACCCACACACCTATCCACACAGGGTCCGGCTCTTCCTGTGTGGCTGCCCCTACCCATGCAGCGGCCAGTAACTCCTCTACCTACCCACCCAGCGTCCAGTCCACCATGCAGCCTCCTGGCCAGGCATCTGTTAAACACCCATCCGCCTCATCATCCATCCAGAATGCAGACCCATGCACATCTCCACCACACGTCTCCCCATGTACCCGTCCATCGTCCACCCACTAGAGTCCACCGATCTCTCCTATATCCGGCCTACTAATGTTCACTGGGCCACAAGTCCTGTGTAGAGCATTATCACCCGGGGTGGAAGCAAAGGGATGCTTCCTTTCCTGGCTAATTCTGAGACCAGCACCCTGCTCCCCAAGAACCATTCTAGCCGGCGAGTTTCTTGGTGGTAGGGACTGCGGGTTCTTTCCCTGGTGCCCAGCAGAGAACACTGCATGCTGCAGTTCAACAAACATGCCACTGGGTCATGAAGGGATCGCCAGTCCTGTGCCGGGCAGAGAGAGGAGTGATACAGCTCCACCCACTCAGAAGATCAAGCCCAGACAGAAACGCCCGACAGTCTCGGCAGAGACGTCCACACTAGCTGCTGTACCCTGGGCTTCACTGTGGGGAAACGGGGAGTCGCCTGCTTTGGACTCTGCCCCCAAGTGCCACCAACAGTGCCGCACAGAGCTACACCTGGGGCAGGCGGTGTCCACTGTCCTGTCTGGGAGGCCGGGAGGCTCTCCAGAGTCGCTGGACTTGAAGTAGGTCTAGGGAGGACTAGGGAGTCAAGGACAGGCCCAGGGAACACTGCAAGCTTCTAGCGCGGGGAGAGAAAGGAGAGGGGAGAGAGGTAACTTCCAGGTCTCTACTGCTCTGGACACTGCCTTTCCCTCCCCTGCCTGGCTGCCTGTCATAACCTCCCGACTGGGCTTCCATGTCCTCTCCAGCCTCCCCCAGCTTCTAAGTCAGACCCTGAGACCCCTGGAGCTGCACTCAAAGTTCTGTCCATGGCCCAGGGGCCTGCACGCCCCGCACTGTCTCCCCAACTCACCACCCCTTCAGTCCCTCACCCCAGCACACTGCTGGGGTCCTTGGCTACCTTATTTAAAGGAGGAGCCTGCTGCCATCCCTCCCTTAGCAACAGATTCCTTCTTCCCCAATATTTTAACTGGGCGTGTGGCTGCCCATCCAGAGACTGAACCCCCAGCCTCCCCGCCACTGGGGCAGCCAGGGCGATGGACCTGACCAGCCAACGGCACGCTGGGCTCTCCCAGGACAGGAGGCCAGAGAGGGGGGTGCCGGTCTCACCATTCTACCCTCAGGGCTAGGGAGACAGAAAAACCTCTCCTTTAATGGCACCACGGCAATTTGGATTTCGGAGTTGGGCAGACTGTCATCGTCTCTAAAGCACTGCTCACTGTCACATCCCCCCAGTCTCTTAGTCCTCACCATCTGAAATGGTCTTGTTTATTTGTTCACTAGTTAAATGCCACATCCCCCCTCAATGCCCCCCCAACCCACCCCACACACACAAACACCCCAGTACCAAGAACATAAGCTCCATGAGACAGGGGCTGCTTAATAACTACTGGTATTTAGCAAATGCGTTAATAGTAAGGACAATTAAAATAACATACGAACAGCTGTTTCTCTCCCGCTCAGAAGACAATCCATTTCTGATGCCACATCTAACCTTCCTCTCCCACATCCTCACCCTCAGACAGACAGACAGACACATGGCCTTACTCTTACCATTGACCTCCTGGATCTCCAGGTCAGGAGAGGCCATGTAATACTTGTCGCACAGGAGCTTGGCCATGTCGTAGGCATCTAAGAGAGATGGGCCACTCAGGGACTGCCCACCCCGCGGGCGGCTCTGGCACTGACATCGGGCAATGCCAACCTTAAACCTGAGGGTCGGTGGTCCCCGTGCTGGGAATGAGTCACCC